TAATGCCTACCCGTGGCCGAGCTTTGGAATTTAGAGGCTTGAGGTAGTCATATGTTATAGATATTTTTTGACGCAAAGTTCGTCTAAAATACTCTGCTACGCGTCGTATTTTCAACTCTCTTCTCGATTTTTGGAAATTGCAGTGGAAATACAGTTGGCATATCACATAGGATTCCCGGATTATAGGGCAGTGAACGGTTTCATGTATCTACGATTCTAATGCCTCATTCTCAAGAAAAGAGCAAAGTAGCTTTAATCTATATTTGTTTTAATTCTAGGTAGGCTCTCCAGATAAAGGTTTATTTTCAGAGTTCTTGCTCTCCAACTTTAGTTGACTGATATGTGTTTTTGTTTATACCGCTGACCGTTTCCTGATTTCAGGAGGCTGGCTTCTTGTTTCCAACATGGTGATTGACAGTTCAATTCCACCCTTCCAGTTCTCAGTTGAGTCATCATTCCGTGCAATCGACAGTTGTCACACCAAAAAAATGTTTCTCGAGAAAAGCGCCATGGCTGATCTGAGATCACACTTGTCTTTCACTCAGCTGAGATTCTACTGCAGTAAACAACACGGACGTACGTTCCACGTGACCACGGTCGCCAACAGCACTGGTGAAGCTGTACTCCAGTACTTCAGCGGTCAGACGGATGTCCAGCCTGATGCCTGTGGCTCGTTTGTTAGAATGGAGAATGACAACTCGCTGTTAACAAGACTTTGCCATAGATGGGGAAAAGAAGGCGCTAATTTCCAAGTTGGTAAATGGGGGTACGGCCGAAATAAAGACAGATTATTCAATCACCCTGCATTTGTGCAGTATGATTATCATGGGATAATGAGACAAACTGGTTCCGGGAGATTCGAGTGTGACGACATTGGTGTTGAAGGACAAGTCGGAGATGCCTGGAGAGTGTTTGTTCGCTAAGAACTTGGTGCATGCACCTGTTTAAGATTACCTTATATAATGCACTACTACACGTAACTAAATGGGTTTCTCGAAATGCTTTGCACACTGTACTTACGATATTGAGAATCTGTTTATAGATAGCTAAATTGTAATCATGGGCACTACATTTCGTTTGTGTACAAGAGTTTAATTTCCAGAATTGAACGCAAACGAGATGCTCGTTCGGTCACTTTTGATAAACACGCAAACCCGTCCAGTGTTATCACAGCTATACAAGCTACTGGCTCTGAAATAAAGTTAATCAGCTGAGATTCTACTGCAGTAAAAAACACGGACGTACATTCCACGTAACCATGGTCGCTAGCAGCACTGGTGAAGCTGTAGTCCAGTACTTCAGCGGTGAGACGGATGTCCAGCCCGACGCCTATGGCTCGTTTGTTAGAATGGAGAATGACAATTCAATGTCAACAGGAGTTTGCCATAGATTGGGAAAAGAAGGTGGTATTTATACAAGTTGGTAAATGGGGGCACGGCGAAAATGAAGACAGATTATTCAATCACCCTGCATTTCAAAGTATGATTATCATTGGATGATGAAACCAATGGCGCCAGATTGGATTGTGACGACAATAAAATTGAGGGAAATATTGGAAACGCCTGGAAAGTCTTTGTTCGCTAAGAACTTGGCGCATGCACCTTTTTAATGATTAGATTAAATCATAATCATGGGCACTATATTTCGTTTGTGTATAAGAGTTTAATTTCCAGAATTAAACGCAAATGAGATGCACGTTCTTTCATGTTTGATAAACACCCAAACCTGTCTAGTGTTACCACAGCTATAAAAGCTACTGGCTCTGAAATAAAGTTAATCATTAGTTTAAAGTGCATTCATTCACCCCTGGACACAACTGAACAGAGGACCTAAAAATGATAACCTTCAGTAGATGATATGTCTGATACATGGTAGCTAAATCTAAAAGGATGCAGTGAAGTGGGTCCGTATAGGACCATACACACTAAGACTCCATATACGAAGGGGCTCAAAGAGTAGTTGCTTTGATTTACTTCCGTCGAGTCCACCAGCAGCAGCTCTCCCTGTTCATCCGGCTCTGGGTCATTTTGGGCGGTAAAACAACAAGCTGAGCACAATTTCAGGTTGGTGTCCATGTGGACGGTAGCGATAGCAAAATCAATTCGAGGAAATTTTAAAGCAGGAACTAGTTGAGTTGGAGTTTAACGAGCAAAATTAACCCATTTTCATACCAACTAAGGACTGAACGTAAAAAGGGTTACGTTTATTTGATGGTACGAAACAAACAGCTACAAAAGATCGCGCGTGAATTAATTGCTTGTATTTTTACTCTACTAAGTTAGTCAGAGGGCCAATAACCAGAATCTGCCAATCAAATTTCACTTTTACCAGTTAAATGTCTTCCAGTTATCGGACCCGGGCAATTAGCGGAACGTCCGGCTATACCAAGTCAAACGTGAGTTAACATAAATAAGAATTGCACTTCAATCTTACCATGCCTTTCTGGTCTGTGATCGATTTGATTGTTAGATTTGATTGTTAGAATTGCACTTCAATTTTACCATGCCTTTCTGGTCTGTGATCGATTTGATTGTTAGAGTAGTATAGACGATGCTCCTGGTTCTACATGAAGCGTTAAAAATTGAATTAATGTGATAGGAACCGATTTAATGAGATGCTGGTAATTAAGGTATGAGTGGGATATTAATGAGAAGCAGGCCGTGTAGGGATTTGAAGGAACATACCCAAGGGAGCATTATACATGTAAGTGGTATTGTTTGAATATTACATGAGTGTTTCAGAGAGATGTGTGTGTTGTACTGGAGTTAACAAGCCGCCCAACCATCCGGGTAGTGTCGTGCTTATATAACGAAAAGACTTGACTGCGAGCCAATGACAAAGCACTGACGTCATTGTCAAATCCGTCAAACGATTGGATGATTCAAAATGGCAAACACGCCTTGAAAGATACAGGTCAAACATGTGCATGTTTTAAGCTGCGGCTTCGAATTACTCAAAACGACGGGTTTGTAAACAAACATTTTCAAGTGGTATAAGTAGAAGACAAAATTGCTTGAGTAACTTTTAACGACTCGATATAGAGTACTCAATATGCTCAAACAATGTTCAAGACACAGGTTTTCCAAATTTCTCCCGGTCATGCAGTAAATTTAATTATTCGGAGCAAAAAAGTTACTTTATATACTGTAATACTGCTCATTAAATAAAATTTCAAATCGGTCTGAGTATTTGATATACTCGAATACTGCTCGTTAAAATCATGGTCTCAGTAATCGAGGGCTAATCAATTTGTGCGAGAGCTTCCATTTGTTAGCTCAGTACTCAAAAATTAGGCAAGAAAGAGTTCAAATAAACATTGTTTACAATTGTGCTCATTCAGGTCAGATTCTCGAAGAAACTAAGAATTAATTCTACTACGTCTACTACGCAAATTTTTTTATGTTCTAAGAAACCAGGCGCTTACTCGGATCCCACGAAAATTGGCAACGATCTATTTAATTTCTGGGCTGGGCTAACATTCATTATTGTTATTGTTACTAACAATCTGTGCGCTCCTCGGTACGTTGCTGTTTGCTGACCTGAGCTGTGCATAGACCCAAACGAAACAACGCCAGTTTTGTCACAACAACAAATACCTTAGAAATAACAGCTAGCTGTACAGCTATTCGTTAAAGGAAAAAGAACATGTTAGCTTGTAACAAGCCTCAACTGACCGCCCACGTTACTCTTACGACAGTTTTTAGTTCGGGAAAATGGTTCATTATAATTAAAGCAAGTGCACCTAAAAAAGGTGTAGGTTACCGGCAAACACCTTGTGATAAACAGGCAACCGATTTGCAATAGAGCATTTATTTCAGAAGAATTCCTGAGCTAACAAAGAGAGGAGCGCTGTGAGTTTTGCAATCCAAGAATGCATCAATTCGGACTGCATGCTTCTGTAGAATAGCAATTTTCTTGGGATGAGCATTTGCGGCTTGGCCCCAAGCAATGAGACCATAGGAAATGTACGGTTCGATTAACGAGCGATAGATAGGAGAGTAGTAAATTCTACAAGATCTCTTAGTCTAGCAATAATGCCAATTCCCTTACTGTGAGAATTCGTTCTTTGTCCGTACAATTAATGCATGGAATAGTCTGCCTAGTGAAGTTGTACACGCTGGATCACTGACTCTGTTTAGATCAAGACCGAATACCTTTATGGACGTTAAGTAGCAAATTTTAGAATATTTTTTAATTTACCATGTAAACATGTTTTACAATTGTTGACCTGGAAACTAACTAAAATTGCATTTTGGCTTGTAAGTAGTTCTTGCATTGTACACGTCATTTACGCGTTTTATTTATGAAAATTGTCACGTATATGGCTAACCTCATTATTACCGTTTCAAGAGGTTTTTTTTTTAACATATGCATATTATCTGTATCTAGATCTCTTGAATAAAGTATTGTATTGTATTGTATTATTGTATTGTATTGTGTTGTATTGTACTGCTTTTTTTTTGATGAGATGTAATCAATGTAACACTTGAAGGAAAGATTATTGTCAATGAAATATTCCTAGATGGTTCACATAAGTTTTGCGATCGAGAGTTACCAGTTGCTTGGGATTATTGTCAAATATTTTTATGTTATAACTTTTAATTCGTAGTCCAGTTTAGGCTGAAAAGGATGAAAGATAACGAAGTTAGATTGGCTTGGGTTAAGGAATGATTTGTTGCGATCTAGCCAGTCACGCAGTTTCGACAATTCCTGATTAACGCTAATTTCGAGCTTTCTTAAATCTATCTCTGCGCATAGCAGATTGGTCTCATCATCAAACAGATAAAAATTAAATTTTGGAGAGGAACGATGCATGTCATTAACAGTGATTAGAACGAGCAACGGACCAAGCAGGGAACCTTGAGTGACACCGCAAACTAGATTTTCTTTCTTAGAAACAATAGAGCCAGTTTGACTTGATTGTGTTCCGCTTGACAGATATGACAAAACAAACCAGTCGTTAATTGTTCCTCTGATCCATAATGATGCAATTTGTATACCGGTATCGAGTGGTCGGTTGTGTCAAATGCCTTTTTCAGATCGACAACAATACTGCATGAAAATAATTTTACATCCACATTGTTTCGAATTTTGTTCAGGATGTCCAAGATCGCACGTGGGGTCGAACAATTCTCTCTAAATCCATATTTTGAATTGAAAAAGGTATTATTCTTTTCTAGAAAGGACTTTATTCACATTTACATTTATACATGGCAAAGGCTACCCATCCCGCCACGAAGTGCTGGTGCAGGTGCATGTCTTTTCAAATATTCGGCTGAAACACAGTTAATAGAGGGAAATGGTTAGGAAAGCCCGTAAACATCAAAGAAGCAAGCAAACAGGTTGAGATTTATGTTAGAAGGTCCTTGCCCCTTGCACATCGTTTGTGTTGTGCTCGTGACTATGCATGATTACGTAA